CAGGCAGGCTTGGCCCTGAGGTGAGCCGCCAAGGTGGTTAAAACCTTAGTAAAGGTACGGGGTGCTGAGGAAAGCCCAAAGGGCAAGGCCCTATATTGATAATGAGTGCCTGGATAATGAAACCTTAGGTACTTCCGATGTGAGGGAAGGATCAGAATATGCATGTACACCTCAGTGAGGTCAATAGAGGTGAGGAAGTCGCCCTTCCTGGCGCCATCAAGAATAGATCGAAGAGACTGCATGTTGAACCTTTTATACACAAGGTATCGGTTCAATCTTTTAAGGTCCAGAATAGGTCTCCACCCCACCCCACCCCAACGTCTTGGAAATGAGAAACAAGAGGGAATAGAACCCCTGCCCAAGCTGATCCTCCGGGACCTTCTGGATAGCTCTAATGTTCAGGAGGTGTTTCACAGCTAATTCCATGAGGATCCTTTTGTTTTTGTTGTTAGACATCAGGCATCGCATAAAAAATGTCGGAGGAATAGAGATAAATTCCAGGGATAAGCAGATCGTACAGTATCCCTGATCCAAGTATCAGAGGTAATCTCCTCCCATTGGTTGGCAAAAAGGGCCAGTCTGCCGCCAATGGGAGGGTCAGAAATGCAGTTAGTGATGGCGCTGGAGCAAATGAGTCCCTCCCTCTCGAAAGGGATGCTTATTCAGAAAGGGTCTACCTCGTGATGACCTGTCTTGGTGGCCCCTCTATCTCAGGCTGAAAGTCCCCTGGAATCTTGAAGAACCAGCACCCCAATCAGATCCCCGAAATGGGGGGCAACGGGAGATTGGGATATAATGGGACTCCCCCCTTTGTTGGGCGATAGGCAAGATCTTCCACTTGTCCTTAGTTTCAATGAGCAGCGGTTCTAGAACCTCCCCAAACAAGCTTCCCCCAGTGAAAGGGGTGGAAGCCAGATACCACTTGTGGCGGGCATCCGCCTGCCAACTTCGTAACCAAAGCAAGTGGCGAGCCGTCACAGCAGACACCATAGTCTTGGAGGCAAAACAGGTGGAACGCAAGGTCCCATCAGCCGAAAATTGTAATACTGCGATAATCTTAAAATCTTGATGAATTCTGGTGTCCTCTGTCGAAAGCTTATCTTGCAATTGCCTAAGCCAAAGCAACGTTGCTCTGTTGAAGAAGGAGGGGAGGCTGTAGAGGCAGAGAGGCTAGCCCAGGCCGCCCCTTCGTGGGCCCTCTCAAGCGCCTGTTCCGCCCGCCAATCTTCCAGTTGTCCCGGAAGACAGGAAGTTGACAATAAAGCAGCGACAGGCACATCCACAGGAGGTGTCTATAGCACTGATGCCAACTCAGGACCCACATTGAAGTATCATTTGTCTGCGGATGAAGGGAGAGGAGCCAAACCTGGTGATGTCCACTGCCACCTGACGACGTCCACAAAAAGGCATGGGGCAGGAATAGTATCCATTGCCTGATCTGGCTCAGAAAAGGTGGATCCCGCTGCGTCACAGGAGGATGTAGCCCCGGACTGTTCAGTCGGTGCCCCACGGTGAGCCACTTGAAAAGTAAAGGTTTAAAAATATTTGGTGGAAAGAGCCCAGTAAGTGCTGGTTGCTCTGGCAATAATCCCTCATAATCAGAGAGATCCGAATCCCCTCACTCAACGTCCTCCAGGAGAGATGGATGGCTCATCAGCAAATGAGTGGGTGAGCCCGGGTCAGCATGCGAATCTTAGGGTCAGCATTAGTGTCCGAGACACCTGATCATTCCAAAGGTGCCCGGCCAGGTAGATGAAAGCCGGCCAACAAGGTTTGCTGAATGGTCTGGGCTATAATGGCCTGAAGATTGTCCAGAAAAAGCAACTCCTGATCCACCATTGGGCGCAATGTTAACCACTGCCTGAAGATCTAATGTAGGATCCTGACTGGGAGCTCCGCTCAGTGACTGAGGGCCCGGAGAAAGAGATCCTCCCCACAACGCGGACATAGGAATAGAAACGGGGCAGCCCTGCAACAAAATTTGATCAGGAGATCCAATTGGTGTCCCCTCATGAGGGCGAGCCACTACGGCGCGACCTGGATCAGGCAGAGAAGCCAAAGTAGAGGGCGTGGTGTTGACCGCCCTGTTGCATATTCTTTGAAGGGCCTGATCCTGCCATCGCTCATCCTGAGGGGATGCTTTGGATACTGTATTTGTGTGGCTAGATCTTGAAGGAGCCTTGGTGGTACGTCTGGGAGCCCGGCTGTCCCCTGCGGGAGTTGTGCTAGAAGGTCCGCTGTCTATTCGGCCTATATTTGCCCTCTGGGGTGAGTCTGATTTCCCAGCTCTGTTGGACTTGGTCAATGCCTTAGGCATGGTGGCAATGAGGGGAGCTGATGAGAACCCCTCAATCAGTACCAGGAAGATGGGAGCTCTAGGCTTCCCACAGCATCCGAGCAGACAAAGCAGAGGACTTCAAGCATGAATGCTCTTCCGCCCTTAAAATTTGAGCTCAGACTCCTTTAGGCGGTGTAATGGCCGGGACACAAAATGGCAGCTGCCAGCTTGAAGGCAGGGAGCATGAAGCTCCAATGCGCCACACCACCGCCCCGATAAATTAGAAGGGAGCGCGAAGCCTGAGTGAAGGCAGCGGCTATCAGCGAGCGAAAACACAAATAAAAGGGCGTCTGCCAGGTGGGAGACGGGGAGTGCAAAGCTTCTCAATGCCCACACCACCACTCCAGTTGATAAGGAGGGAGCACAAATCCCCGAGTCTATACAGCAGCTATTCTAGAGCGAAAGGCACAAAATGGCAGTTGCCACATGGAATGAGGGAGTGTGAAGCTCCGCGATGCGCCCCACCACCGTTCCTGATGTAAATGAAGCCAGTGTGAAGATCCAAAACTAGGCAGTGACGCTCCAACCGGGTGTTGTTAACTCTGCTCGCTCGCGGGAAGCAGAGGGCTGAGGCCAAAAATTCAGGCTGGCCAAATGGGAGCACGAAGCTCCGCAGCAAGCTCCTAGTGCCTAGTTCACACTTTGTTCAAAATGGCCGCCCAGCAAGCCCTCAGTAAGCACTTTTAATGGCGGCCTCCAGCTGGTCTCGGGAGCACAAAGCTCCACTATCCAACTCTCAACTGTCTTCGGGAGCGCTTGACTCCACTAATAAAATCCCAGAACGCCTGCAGTTCACCAGGATTGAAAGCAGAACTGGTCAGAAACGTTCTGCAGACAGCTGAGAAGCCCCTGGCCACAGCAAGAGCCGAAGCTCCAGCCGGCGGAGAGAGGAAATTCCAATAACAGATTAAAATTGTTTTCCCAACTCACAGATGAAGATCAGAAAGACAAAATCCAGTATTAGGTGAAACACAAAAATCCAGGAATGAGGAGAAAGCTCACAACATGTCCATCCAGTCTGAAGAACTGGGTCAAAAGCTGGAAGCCCCTAGCAACAGGGGCGGGACTTAACAACTCTGACAGACTCAGTCCTTCAATCTGAACAGAGAAATACACAACCCATTCCTGGCTGCTGTCTCCACCAATACGGAGAATAATTTATACTTACAGTGTAACTGAATTTAATGTGCAGTATTTTTCAGTGTATTTAGTTAACTTGATAGCTGATTTAAAATGGTCTGTTACACAAATCCATTTTAAATATATAAACTGGAGTAGCAAATGTATTTAAAATTGACATCAGTTTAATTAAGCTAGTTATCCCACATTGTAATAAAGCTACAAATAAAGCTGCCCATTTGAATATAGCCACAAAAATCCTTCAGCTGACAAATTTAAGGTACAGCCGAAAAGATAGGGAATTGCAAAATTTAAGTAAGCCACAGGTACAGACCACCACAGAAAAAATTAGTAAAATGTGTGATTTAATAAAGTACATGGATGGAAGTTCACTTTCTTCTCTCCGGGACATGGCATATAACCAATGCTTGACCAGGGTATGCAGTATTGTCAGGACACTACTCATCCTCTCCATGACCAGTTTCCTTTGTTACCTCCTGGGAAGAGCTTCACGGTATCCAAAGTAGAACTACTAGGTTCTGTAATAGCTTTGTACCATGTAGTGTCAACCTTGTTAACTCTCAAGACTCTTTTCTGCTATGTATACAATATGGATTGTGATTAATATATATGTGTATATTTATGTGTTTATATGGATAACTAATGTGTGCCAGTGTCACAGGAAAAAGTGGCAATAAAGGTTATGTTATCTTATTTCTTTTTTGATCTGGGTCAATGTTTCTGAACAATAACTAAGTAAATACTCTGGAGTGGATAAAGTTTGTAGCTGGCTCTCCCGAGAATAGGGCCCTGCAAGTGCCAAATGCCTCATCGTTGTTAGAGAAGCAGATTTTTACAAATCCAGTGAAGATAGCAGAATTGTGACAAAGAGAATACATTTCATTTAGTAAATATTTAGTAAACCTCCCCTCCCCAATTTTGGTTCTTCATACCCTGGGTCCTAGCTCTCACCAACAACTCAGTAGTTCCTGTTGCCACCCCCTATCTTCTAGAGGACACTTTATTTGGCTCTTCCATTTATCCCTGCAATGTATGAGAAACAGGGTCCTAAGTAGCCTATCCTGCCTTTCTGGCAGTTAAAAGGTCAAAATATAATTGCAAGACTAAACCACCTAACACGAATTCTTACTAGACTTTTTCTTTTTACCAACTTCTTCATCTACCTGAAGCACCTGTCCCTCTGAGTCACTTTTCCTGGGCTTTCTGCTTCCAGAGAATTCCAGTAAGCTTCAATTTTGAACCTAGAGATGATAAACCCCAGAATCCTTTTGGTCTTCATTTGTTCCTTCTCCAGTTCTTCCTCAAAGTTTAAAATGATCAAAAGATTTTTTTTTGTCTGACAAAAAAACCAGCATATCTTCTGTGTACATGACAGAGAAGTATTTCACCCATGGAAGTTGTGGATTCTGTATCTGGCATTAGAGGCTACATTCAAAATATGTTTCTCAATTACAGTGCTTCCTGCAAGAAGGTAGATGAAGGCCAACCAATTCCAAGACTGCAGGAATGAATGTGATAAATGTGACCTTATTTATGATTTATTTGTCCCATGTTATTCTATTCATTCTTAGAACTAAAGTACATATAAAATGTACATTGCATAAAAAGGTTGTTTTAATCTCAATGGATTTGGTCAACTCTTCCTGACCTCAAAACAAATATTTTAAAATGTCAGTCAAGTTCTTCTTCTGTATATCAGTTTGTTTATCCACAGCAATATTAAATAAGGCTATGCATACTTCTAAACGATTCCTAAGAGGTCCTTCAAAATATCAGAAGCACATTTATTCAAAGCAGAAACATCTTTTAGCCTCCATATAAATCTGAAAAAGATAAAGATATGGTTGTTTTAATGAATGTTAGTTGAAACCTCCCATGCATTCAAAAATAACTAAAGAAGAATAACACACAACCTGGGATCTCAAAACTATTAATAGTCACTCTTATATTTGGCACTCAAAAGTTTTTTCAAAAAATGCAAGTAAATGAAATAGCCTTTGAAGTTTGGGGCTATCACTAAAGGTAAAATACATCTCCTTGTCAAAAAAAAATATACTCCTGATTTCAAGTAATGTATCTAATAATGCTGCCCAGATATTTTCCCTTTAGACTTGCTACCATTTAGCTTAAACAATAAACAATCCACATATATATTCAGTAATATTTTTCTGAAAAATGGATTTCAAAATCTATTCTCATTGCAACAATTTCAGGAGAGAACCAAACTATCTTGCCTTAATATCAAATAATAATTGCTTTAATTACAATATTGCTTGCACATTGTCCAAAAAGCCATATTCCAGAATAGGTATGTTAAGACCATAAGAATATAGTTGTTGTAGACTAACAGACCTATCCTTCTGGTTTAATTTAGGCTGATGCATACATTATTTATCAATTACATACTAGTGTACTAAAAATAGAAAGGGATGGATAGATTAATGCATCTTTTAGAATTTGTTTAAAAAGAACTCATTTTTTCACTGTCTAAAATTTACACCTGAACACAGAGAACCTGTTGAGCTAGATAGCAAGTTACTAGCTTTCTGTTCCAACTGACAGTAAAACCCAGTAATCTACAATGGATCACTGGGATGGGAAAAATACTTCAGAAATGTGAAGGCATTTGGGTGCATGTATGACGAATATAATATATCCACTCCATGATTGAAGAAAAAGTTTAAAAGAATTACTGGACTGTTGAATTTGACTAACTCGGAGCTGATCAGTTCTTATCATTTACTGTAGTCAAAAAAGGAAAATCTCATAATATTTCGACCAATTTTGGGTAGGATAACACAGGTGATCGAGTATATTAATGAGAACCCTTTTTCTCTTCATGGGGATTCATAGTCTCTTTCCATGGGAATTTTAATCATTTTGTAGGAGGTCCACAGGTTACATCCATGCATTCAGTGACTGTTCAATAAATGGCAGTGAACAAGTGGGAGTTACAATAGGTCCTCATATTTCCTGCCATCAATATCTATGGTCATATGATTGCAATTTCTGACATTCCCTGCAGACTTCCCACAAGCCAACTCAATAAGGAAGCTGATCACTGGAGGCCTTTTAACAACCCGTGTGGTCCTCATTTAACAGCAGCAACATGGGACTGGTGGAATTGCCATCACTAAGCAACATGGTCATGCAACATCACACTTTTGTTCGTGTCACTTAAGAGATGGAGTTTCCGGTGCCAATTGCTGTGGTATCCTGAGGATCTGCTCTAGAATTATTTAATGTATATTGTTTGTCCAGAATTAAATAGTATTTAGAATTTAAAATATTGTTTCATTTTATGTTTGAATTGCTAAATGCAGATCTGTGCCCAAGGGATTATTTTTAACTCTGACTCTTTAACAGTAGCAGCCAATATGACCTACACTGACTTCTTACTATAATAAACTTGCCACTGCAGCCATGCTATTTAGCCTATTATATTACTTCGAAGTAAAAGCTTTGACATAACTGACAAAGCAATGTAAACTGGATTATTTCAAGATCGCTCTAGTGTGCATTTCCAAAGAGTTTGTTTTTTGACCTATTTTCTTTCTCTCCTTAAGAACTGGGAAATCAAATATTCATATTTTTAACCAGGCTAGTATAGTTTTTTAATTTTCACACCATCAGAGATGCAGAATCAAAAGAACACATTAGTAAGTTATTACATTTGCAATACCAAAGGTAAAGGAGATATAAATATCAATCCTATATTATACAGCATTCCTCTCTCTGAGTTCATGCCTAGCAAGTCCAACTTCTTCCCAGAACTTTTTTCGTAGTTCCAAAATAGAAATTAAGATATTCTAACTAGGAGTCTTGGAAAATGCTACAGAAATAAACATGTCCAAGTCTAGAATCCAATGATATTAAGCTAAAGTTAAAAGGATATTTCCATTTCATAAATAAATATAGCCTTAACAGTTTTTCTTGTTCAAAAACTAGGGCACACCTTCACAAAACAACTCCTGCAAGCATAAGATTATAAAATTAGTATCCCAAGTATCAACAACTGCAATATTCTATATGAGATGGCACTTTCTTCTCTTAAATCTATTATAACTAATAGAAAAATAGAAAAACAAACAGAGGGAAAATCAGGAACAATCCCTGAAATAATGTAAGTAAAACCTTTTGGAGGAATATACTTACAGTATAGATACTGTAGTCCTCTACTTATAAACATTTATTTAGTGATCATTCAGAGTTAAAACAGCATTGAAAAAAAGTAACTTATGACCAGTTTGCACATTTACAACCATTGTAGCATCCCCATGGTCACATAATCAAAATTCAAGCACTTGGCACCAATAGGTATTTATGATGGTTGCACTGTCCCGGGGTCATGTGATCACCATTAGCAATCTTCCCAGCCAGCTTCTGACAAGCCAAGTGAATGCGGGAGCTAGATTAATTTAGCAACCACGTGATTCACTTAACAATTGTAGTCATTCATTTAACAACTGTGGTAAAAACAAAAGTCATAAAATGGGGCACGATTCATTTAAAAACTGACTTGCTTAGCAATGGAAATACTGAGCTCAAATATGATCGTAACATGAGGACCACCTGCAATGGATTACATGTATTTTTATCATAAAATCCCATTTCTCTTGCTTTTGTAATTCAGTATAAAATAAACATATTTTTTTTCCTTTTTGTTTATTAATTAAAACAGCAATTTTTCATTTTGGACCTCTCCTGTAATATTCACAACAGGAATAATATTCAATTACAACTGCCCCATTTAAAAACATAAATGTATAAAATCAGACAAATGCTCCCAGTAATACCAAATTCATTACACAGCTTGATTACACACAATGAGAAAAAAAAACTTAGCCCAGCATAAAACCTCATTCTGCTTCTGTTATGCTGCAGAGGGCCATAAGGATTTTATTCCAATTCAGCAAGCACATTTTTTACTATCCTGATCGCATTCATATTAACAGACTGCATTCTACATATTTAACATACCATATTGTTTGCCACTTGCAGTGAAACTGAATGTAGAAGAAAAGTACACTGCAATGAAGAGCATGGCAAAAGTACCAACCAATACAGCATGGTATTACATTAATGTCAGTGCTACCTTGTTCAATAATCAATCATGGAAAACAAGAAAAACAGGTCTGACGCTTATGAAAGGAAACAAGAAGAGAGGTGTCTTTGGAAATAAATAAAAATAGCACAGGAAAGCACAAATAAGATGCCAAGTAATTCTAGCTCATGTTATTATTAACAATACAAAATAGCTCTAATAAGCTATATTGTTTAATAATCCTACAGAGGTCCAAGGCTAATACTAACTAATCTGATAGCCAAAAGTCACCAAGAATTTCAACATGCAAGGTAGATGGAGAAAAGGAGTATGCTAATTAAACTCTGAAATTACACAAAATAAACTGCAAATTTATGGGACTTCTTTTTTTGGAAGGGATTGATTTTAAAACTTAATAGGTAACATTAGAGGCTTATGAGATTATCCACTGTAGGAGAAATATATAAATCAGGCATTTAAGAAGTACGTTTCAAATAATGATAATGGAGAGAAAAAATTTGTTATCTAAAAACTATAACTGTCAAGCACAAAGGATCAGGATAATCTATTAAACTGTAGCACAGATTTATTTAACCCTATACACAATAATCTAGTCAACTAAGGTTCAACACCAAATTGGCACCAGATAAGGATCAACATAATTTAGGAGTAGACAGACTTTGGACCGTTTGTGGAAACATAATGACTCTAAGCTGATGATGTACTTAACTCTGCCCCCCAGCTCTGCCTGCTTTTCTACAATATTATTATAGAAAATTAATATATTATTATATAATATTATTCATGTTTAAACATGAAATAGGGCAAGATGGACATATGATTTAGAAGACAATATTAAATTGGAAACATGGTAACGTTTTGGATATCACTGCTATAATTATCAGGCTATTATTTGAAAGGAATAATTTTACTTTATTTTTACATTTTTTTCATATAGTAAACTTCAGTGTGGTTTCAATCTTCTTTGATCAAGATCTGTTTCAATGAATGTCACTTGATAAGCAGTTTTGTTCTTTACTAGCATCATTTACCCATTGATTTCAATATCCAGAGACAACAGATAAATGTCCCATTTGTCCCAACGATCTAACCCATATCACATATTTTTATTTCTAAAATTTGTAAGCCACCCATTTTACCACAGGGCTTGGATATTATGCATTATAATACATATCATTCTATTATCAAATTCTGTGATAAACAGAGGAAAAACAGCACAATATAAGAAACAGTTAAAAAATCTTAGGAAATTAGGATAGCTGCAACAGTTCAAAAATTAAACTAATTATTTAAAAATACAAGATAGCTATTGACCAAAAGAACAAGTTTTATTTTATTTATTTGAATTTATTAGCTATCCAAGTCCAATGGATAGAGAAAACATAAAAACATCAAATAAAACAGGACAGTCCGGATTGAAATAATCTTATAAACCATGGGGTTCTTAAACTTTTTAAACAGGGGGCCAATTCACTGTCCCGAAGACTGTTGGGAGGCCGGACCGGCTGGGTGGGTATGGCTAGGTGGTCATGTGGTTGGGTGGGCGTGGCCAATTTAGCAGTCCATTTTGCCAATTTAGCAGTCCATTAAACAATACAGACAAATTAAACTTTAATTTGTTTTGCTTCTGGGGGTGTTTTGTTTCCTTTTGTTTGCATGTTGCTCTTTTGATTGACTTTTCTTTTTACTAGATCGTTTTTTACGTTGTTTAGGAGTCTAGTGGTCCACTTCAGGAAATTCAGTTTTGCAGCAATTTTT